CTAAACTCTAAACCCTAAACAATGAACCCTCACCCCTAAACCCTAAACTCTAAACTCTAAACCCTAAACCCTTTAAGTAGGCTTTTACAAGGAAGCCTAAGTGCCAGGATATTTAGGTACCCCTGAAGATCTTGACCCGGGAGCGTCGGGTCGCTATCCCAAACAGCCCTAAACCCTAAACCCTAAACCCTAAACCCTAAACCCTAAACCCTGAATTTTGAAATGCATTTTGAACCAAAAGAGCTTTGATATAATTACTAAATGGATATGCCCTGCTTTCGCGGCATGACAACGCCATGTGACAAACAGACTGTAACAACCATGTAAGACCCGCAGTGTTAGAGTTTCAGGGTAGAGCTCAGGGCTAGGGTTTAGGTGTTCAAAAAACCTTGACTTTACGGGTTTAAGGTTTGTTTAGGGCTTAGGTTTCAGGGTTTAGAGCTTCGCCAGCAGGCTTCCGGCAACCCAATAATGGAAATGTCCTGGGGGCCCATAATAATGCTAAGCTTCCGGTTCTGGCTAAAAAGATCGAGACCGTTCCCTAAAGCCTAAACCTCAAAGAAACTCGAAAACCCCCAAGCCATAAACCCTAAACCGCGAAAGCCCCAAAACTTCGAACCCTAAGCCGCTAAACCTTCAACTCTAGGGGTTTGAACTTCAGGGTTTAGGGTATAAGGTTTAGGGTTTCGTAGCCTTTTTTCTTGGTGTTCAGGGTTTTCGGTTTTGGGGTAGGTGCTTTTGAATTGATTTGTGCAGGGTTTCGTACGGCTTTCAACTCTTTCAGGGGTTTTCCGGGGTTGGTGTCCACGGTTTAGGGTTTAGGGTTGTCGTTTAGGGTGTAGAGTTTGGGGTCTAGTTTCGTAATGTAGGGCTAAAGCTCCAGGCTTTTGGAGTTTCGGCTTTACTTGGGGTCTCAGAGTCTGGCTTGAGGGTTCAGGGCTTTGCCCCGAAACGGTTTAGGGTTTCATGTTTAGGGTTTAGGGTTTAGGGTTTAGGGTTCAGGGTTCAGGGTTTGGGGTTTAGGGTAAGCCCTAAACCCTAAACCAAGGTAATCAAGTGAGACTAGGATACTCTGCTGCATCACTCAAACACCCCGCTGGCACAACACTTAAACAAGCACACGCGCACACGCACGAACACATGAACTTGCTCTGGCTGCCCTCAAAAATAGGTCAGGTTTGAGCTATATGGGTGGTTCTCTCAAGTAGGGTCCCTTCTATGCTCCTTTGCATAAGGGAGCCGTACTATTTTGGGGATTTACACAGGGACCCTCATTTTCGAGAACTGTCCATCTTCCTGAACGAAGGGCTTTCTGTTTATCCGGGGTCTGCAGGTAGCAGGCAGGGCTCTGCCCCGCCGGTGGACACGTCCTCTGCCTCCTGGCGACTTGAAGACTAGGGTTTAGAGTCCAGAGTTTAGGGCGTAATATAGAGGCCTTACTAATTACCTATACTTTTTTGTGGGTTCCTTATTATGATTATAGTATAGTATACCCAAAACCCTTTTCTAATTATTCATTAGGGCGTAGGGTTTAGAGTTTAGGGTTGTAGAGCTGCTTCCCCCGGGCCTTCAAACAAAGCATAAATCCGAAACTTACAAAGTGCTAGTACGCCGGTTTTATCCCAAAAGGCCGACCTACAAAGTCCAATACGATTCTGCCCCAAAACACCGGCACCCCAAGCAAAAAACAACCCTTAACTCCTTACCTACAAAGTCCGGTATGATAACGATAGTGCACCACCATCCCGCGTCCTTGAATGGAGACCTCTAAGGACACTATTCCAAGAAGTCTTTCAAGGTTTTCGTTCTGGCTTGTGGTATGGTGCTGGCCAGGATTACTGTGCAGTTTTAGGGCTTTTTAAGTTTTCGGGCGTTCAGGATTATCGAGCTTTCGGCTTTTTCAATGTCTACAAGGGGTGAGGATTTCATGACTTGAGACTCACGGCTTGGAGTGTAAAGCCAAAACTCCAGCTGCTGGTCCGCCAAAGCGACCTCCGGCCAAGCAGATAGGTCAATACCCCGTAAATAAGGAAGATGCCTTGAGCACGGAGGTCAGTTGACAAGAGTGGGCGACACACGACGCGGAGATCCAGTACTTAACTCACCCTTCTTTTGTGCTAGTTGCTGCAGACCATGATGATGATGTTGTTTTTTGTTGCTGATGTTGTTGTTTTTGCTGGCAGAAAGATCTTGAAAGAAACCATCGCTTCGAACAAAGAAGCGCACACACACAAACCACACTCCTGACACCTTAGAAACCTTTCAGGAAGGATTACCCTAAACCTTAAGCCCAGAAGCCCCAAACCCTGAACCCTACAAGCTCTAAGCCCACAACCTCCTTGAGCCCTACGCCCTACCCTAAACCCTAAACCCTAAACCCTAAACCCTAAACCCTAAACCCTAAACCCTAAACCCTAAACCCTAAACCCTAAACCCCAAACCCTAACCCTAAACCCTGAACCCTAAACCCTAAACCCTAAACCCTAAACCCTAAACCCTAAGCCTAAACCCTAAAACTAAAAATCCTGGAACCTCAAAGCTCCGCTGAGGTGGCTCGCGTCGCCCAGATCTCGCAGCAGACGGCGTCTTTGGGCGCAAAGATTGCAGCTCCAGGTGGGCCAGGGAGGGGTTTAGGGTTTAGGGTTTAGGGTTCATTAAGTGTTCGGTATAGTACAAGGGTTTGGAGTTTAGGGTTCAGGGTTTGGGGGGTTTAGGATTTTGGGTTACGGGTTAAGTACGGTTTAGGGTTTAGCGTTAAGGGTTTAGGGTGTCGAAAGGCTGTATAGGCGTTGCATGTGTTTGATCGGGGTGTTACATAGGTTTGATGTAGGGTTTATGGGGGTTTGGATTTTCAGGGCCCTAAACCCTAATTCCTAAACCC